GCAAGGTTCTTCTAGTCTGTCATTTCTGTGGCCACTACATGGAGCCATAGGAAATAGTAGTGAAATCTGCTCTTGACCCTAGAGAGTTCACATGGCTATTGCGGTAGCCATGACGACTAAGTGGCCCATAGACTCAGACCTGTGCTGTTGTCTGCCTGATCTTCCCTATGTTCAAAGGCACTGAGACATTGATCTACCTCCAAGAAGAGTTGACTCTGTACAAGACACATGTTTAAGGCCATCCTGGTTGCTTTAGAATTATCTGGGAAGAGGAAACTTAGTTGAAAAAAGTCCTCCACCAGATTGCCTGTGGGCAGATTTGTGGGGACATTTTCTTGATTAATAATTTCTCATAGGATGGCCCAGCCCATCGTGAGTGGTACCACCTTGGGCAGATGGTTCTGGGTTCCATGCCAGGGACAGTAAACCAGTAAGCAGCATCCCTCCATGGCCTCTGCTTGAGTCTCTGCATCCAGGTTCCTGCTTGAGTTCCTGCATTGGCTTCCCCCAACGGAAGTATAACCCAAACAAACCCTTTGCCTTCCAAGTTACTTTTGCTCATGGTGTGCCCCACAGTGATAGAATGCATGCTAAGACAGAGGCACTATTTGTAGTTTGGCATGCAGCATCTCAGCATGGGGCATGGGTAAGCAAAGCCCTGGGGATGTTGGTCTCTAACTGTTCCTGCTGAACAGGGGTCCCTGAAGGAGGTGCCTACTGTGCACAGAGACCACGAGCGGTCCAATCATACAAACCTTCTGAAAATGGCCCCGACTGCCCCTCTTCACAACCCCTTCTCACTAAAATTCCTTGATAGAAGACATCCAGTAAAGCCATCTCTTTCAATGATTGCTTGATTCTGTTCTGAGTGGTTTCAGAAAGATAGGAAATTGTTTTCCCAACACACACACACACACACACACACACACACACATACACACACACACACACGCATGCACGCACGAGAAATAACCATAGCAAACTATTGTTCACTGTTTCTTCATAGCAAGCAGCACCTTTTCTGGGTTAAAATAAATTTATACACAAACAATCCTGTGATCCCTCTGGGATTTATTTTACTCTTCAATTGATATTGGAAAAAGTTGTTTCCAAAGTGTATTAGTATTAATCAACAATTTATCAAAAACTTCTGTTTGGATATTGTTAGTGGCGCCTTGCTGCTTTATTTGCAAAGTCTTGGCTCTTTCGGGTCAGAGCAAAAGGTCTCCAAAATGTCATATTTAATTTGCATCAAAGATGCTTTCTCTGTTCTAGTAAAAAGTAAATTATATACAATTAAGTGATTAAATTATTAATAAATGTATTTAATTAGAATTTTCTTATGTGTATGTGTCTGTGTGAATGTATTTGTGTATGTGTGGTGTGAATATATGCCATATGTATGTGTTTGTGTGTGTTTGTGTGTGTGTGTGTGTGTGTGTAGAAGCCAGAAGAGACTGTTGGATCCCCTGGAGCTGGAGTTACACATGATTGTGAGCTACCCAATGTAGGTGCTGGGAACTAATCTTGGACCCTCTGGAAGATCAGCTTTTGACTGCTGAGGTATCTTTTCAGTCCTAGTGAGAAAAATTGGAATTGCTAGTTAAATTGAGTTTCCTTATGATATAAAAGTTAATCATAGCTTTAAAAATACCAAGAGTCATGTTCTCTGAGATAGCTACAGCAGTTTAAGAGGAGAGAAGACCTAGCTCTTAGGAAATGCACAGCCTAGCATTTCAGTGGGAACTGAAGAAGTCCAGCCACTGTGGAACTCCCACACCTCAGCAGCAATTCCAATCATGACAAAGTCACTTGTGACACAGCACCATGAGGGCTTGAAAGCAGACATTCAGAGCTGACCTGCAGATATTCATTTAGGCATGAACATGGTGGCCAAAAGATGGGGTCAATCAGCAGATGGCTGGGTGAACCACAGAAAGCACTGGAGCCTGCCCATACTGCAGTGGGGGTGTGCCGTGAGACACTGTGGGCCTGTGGTTCTCCATACAACATGTCCTGCATAGGCAAATCCATAGATGTAGAAATGGGCTGGGGTAGAGTATGTCTGTGTACTGGATCCTGGATTCTATCCAGAATGACAGCAGTGTCCTGGAGCTGGACAGGGTGGAGACAGCAGAGGGCCGTGATCACCCCTCACCAGGACTGCAGTAAACGCCACTGACCTGAACTGCAAATGGCTCAGAGAGGAGATTTATGTACTGTCCAGGGGTACCACAGTAATATTTGTTTTGCTTAGGTGTTGAGGATTTTATATTCAAACAGAAACAAAAGGCCCAGAGAAAGCTAGCTTAATGAGGCCCCTGAACAGGAGTTCAGGAGAGTTATTTATTTTCTAAAGTATTTGTAAAAGCATAAAGAATTTTTAAAAAAAGTAACAGAAATTTAACACAAGTAAATGAAACTCTGCTAAAAGAGTATTTGTATTCTATTCTTTTAAAATGGACTGAAAATTTAGGTCTGGGAAAATATAATGCTCAAGGTGTGTAATGTTTTCATTTTTTTGGTCTGTGTGGCTGGCTGTTTATATCAGGGACATAATAGTTTAGAGTTAGAGAAAGAATACAAGAAGATGTTGCCAATTTGGAGTGCAGATTTTCCAAATATCCTGACTCTTAAGGGTTTTCCAGTGGAGACCTTGATCAGACTTGACAGTAAGGTCTGGAGCGAGACATGGCAGGCAGGTGGCTTTGCCATCAGGGGATGACAGTTATCTGACATTTGGATTTCACAGATTTTATTCATTTGTTGTCATTGTCTCCTATGACAAACTAGCCTGGGACGAGCTGGCCATGAACTTGGAATGAACATCCCATTATACAGATTTTCAAGTTTGAAAATGGCTTGATCAAGGTGATGTGAAAGCTTTAAGGAACTGTGAGCCAAGAATGAAACAAAATGTTGCTTGAAAAATGATGCTCTTCTGGAATGTTGTATGAAGGCTCAAGTATTAGGAATAGCTTATGGTTCTATGTTTCCTCTAGCCGAGGTCCTGCAGGCTGAAGCTCATGTCATATTTCCTTTTAGACAGAGCCCACAGGTTATGCCAAAAACAAAAAAGGATAAGCCAGCAAATCTGTCATTCCTATTTTTCTAACACAGACTGCATTGAAACCACTTTTTGACCCAAAGAGATGGCTCACTCAGTAAAGTCACAGCTTATAATCATGAAGACCTGAGTTCAATTCCCACTGCCCACATAAACAGCTGACAGTAACATTGTATTATCGTAATCCCTGCTTTGGGGAGGCAAAGACAGGAGAAGTCACCTCTGTCCCCAAAGCTGTTGTGCTGAAGCTGGCACATGTGGTCAGTACCCACAATGACAACATAGGTTGTAGCTCCCAGGAAGATCTGTGTAGAGAAGAGGAATGGATAGCTTAGAGTGACATGTCTCTGGGCAGTGTTCTTGATCTGGACACCAGTTATTTCAACTGGGAGACAGAAATGTCTGATACATCTTCAGGATTAAATTCAGTGTGGTCAAACTGAAAAAGATTGGCTTGCTGTGCCGTACCCAAAGCATGGTGCACAGGGTGGCAAGGCTTATGTTTTGGTGTATTTGCCCCTTAGGACCTGTTATCCTCTCCACAGCATGGTGAGATGGTCACAGTTAGTGTTAGAGCCACACCCAAAGCCTCCTTGCTGGCATCTGAAATGAGCCAGGAATTCACCTGCAAGATCCTGTCAAGTCAGCAGAAAAGAACGAACATTTGTCTCCCTCTGAGAGGACTTAACCCATGGATGCTTTTCTTCACGTGTGCAGATACATTTTCCCTAGAGGGAAATCATATACTTTACAAATTTAAAATTACATTACTTTATTTATATATATTTGCATATCTATCTATCTATCTATCTATCTATCTATCTATCTATCTATCATCTATGTATCATTTATCTATGTATCATCTATGTATGTATCTATATATTTATACATTTATGTATCTATGTATCCATCTATGTATCCATCTATGTATGTATGTATGTATGTATGTATGTATGTATGTATGTATGTATCTATCCATCCATCCGTCTATCTATCTATTTTCTCTCTCTCTCTCTCTCTCTCTCTCTCTCTCTCTCTCTCCCCCCCCCGCGTGCGCGTGTGTGTGTGTGTGTGTGTGTGTGTGTGTGTGTGTGTGTGTGTGTAGCACATGCCATAGTGCACAGAGGACAACTTGTAGAACCAATTTTTTCCTTCTTATGTGGGTCCTGGGAATTGAGCTTAGGTCACTGTTTGTCGGCCTGTGCCTTTGTTCACAGAACTGTCTCGCTGGCCTTCAATGTATTTTCTATATTCATGTGGGGGATTGAGCACCGGGCCTGATGCAGAGAGGCAGCATTTTACCACTGAGCCCAGTCTGCTTGGCTGTTTTTGAACTTTACCGTTTTCAACAGTCATCCAGTCCCTTGAGTCCTCGTGCTTCACATCACTAAATAAATCACAGAGATGGCTTCATTTTTTACTCAAGCTGTGGGATGTTTAGCTTTTTATCACCATGTTTCCCTGACAGTTTGGTACAGACTGAGATCCTAGAGACCAAGAGGAAAGAGCTGAGTCTTGACTTCCTTTGAAAGTAACCTCAGCTCCACTAGGTGTTGGGGCGACTGTGGAGTATTGGGCCCTAGAGCTGCCTCTGATTTGAGTTGAACTGTATGTTCTGGCTTCCCATCTGCATCTAGATGCATCCTGGGGCCCTGGCACTGCCTGTTTCTTCTTTTTAGGAAGCCAGACTTTTCCCGTTTCCCACAGACACCTTCAGGGACTATACCCAGCCTCCATTTCTCTTCTATAAAGTTCAGGGAATGAGCCATACTCTTCCCAGCCCTTGTGGGAACAGAGGGTGGCATCTGTTGTGCTGGGCAGTCCCTCTCAGCCCAGTGGTCTACCTCCTCAACAGCTTGCACTTGTCTCTTAGAATGTTATCTGCTGTCTTCCGCTCCTGCCCTGTAACTGCTCTACCATGGTCTGCCTACAGATGTGTCCAGGTGTGTGGCTGAGAGGAAGTACACCCAGGAGCAGGCCCGAAAGGAGTTCCAGCAAGTGTTCATTCCAGAATGCAATGACGACGGCACCTATAGTCAGGTGACTTGTGCTGCTTTGAGTCTAAGCCTAGGCCATTGGGGTTGAGGTGTCAGGGCTAGGGGTGAAACAGATGGAGCCAGAGCCATTGAGTGGGAAACTGTCATCTTGTTTCAGAGATGTCCCAGAAGCCTCACAGTATGCTATATAAGGGAGGGTTCCAGACCCCAGCTGGCTCAGGTGTCTATACCACAGCCATGGTATATATCCTTATACTACATGAATATGTCATGAGGCAGTTCCTCTCAGAAAAGCTCATTAATCCTGGTCAGCTGGCTGAGCTCTGGGTCTAATTGCAGCTTAGCTCATTCATGAGCACTATGACTCAGCCACTGAGTCCATACTAGGATGCTGCCATATCAAGTCATGGCTTGCCTATGGTCATGTTGCTGGCCAAACTCTGTCAGAAATAGCTTGGTTCTAATTTGAGTCAGTCAGTGCTGCTATCAAGAGCTGCCTACAGCATGCCACAAGTATAGTAGGTTCTAGGAGGGGGCAGCAAAAACATTCTGCTATCAATACCTGAGATCTCATGAGAAGTGTGGGGCCATGTGTCTCAGCATAGTCATGTGACATTTCAGAGGAGGGAGAAGGGATAGCATGTGGGAGGAACTATACTGATGGATGTCCCCTATTGTGGTCAGCTGAAAGTCAGACAAAGGGACCTGGGGAAACCGAGAGGGTGATGTAGAAATGTGTCATCACTGCTGAACACCTATCTCATCTCTCTGAGTCAGCCATGGGTTCACTGAGAGATGTTAGGGGCTGCTTCCCCATGTGTGAAGAGAGGGCTTTAGGTTCTTGCAGCAGGGCCTGGCCCTCACTGTTGTAAAGCATACTTGTTCCCCTTCCTCCATACATCTGTGGTGAAGCTTAGCATACAAGCTTCCACTGAGTGGCCAAATGCAGCACCTGAGTATCTTAGCTATCCTCTGAGGTGACTCTGTAGGAGAGTCGCTGTGGTTAGCTCACTTTCCTGTCCTTTCTCTGCAGGTCCAGTGTCACAGCTACACAGGATACTGTTGGTGTGTTACACCAAATGGAAGGCCCATCAGTGGCACCGCTGTGGCCCACAAGACACCCAGGTGCCCTGGTAGGTCTGACTAATGCTGGCTCCAAGGAAATGACTTCCTGTTTCTCTTGGTCATCTTACTCAGATTTACTCACAAATCCAAAGGACATTTAGAGAGAGAGAGAGAGTGGGTAGGATGAGCTCACTGAACACACCACTCTACATAGACCTGAGGAAAAAAAGCAAAGACTTTTGTCTACATGTTGGGGCAGGGGATAGCTCACTGTGGGGACACATTGGGCTTGAATCATTTGAAAATATAACCACAGAGGCTCGAGTCACCAGCTTGAATGACCCATTGTTTTCCTTGGCCAAAAAAAGCAAAAGGTCCTGCTTTTATATATATATGGGTTTTCAAAGAGAAAGTGGATCTTTGCTCACAGTTCAGTTTCCAGACATTTATGTGTGATATTTTATTACTCAGACGGGAGCTTGATGTACTGAAAGTAGCAAGGCTGGCGGCCTCACAGTCTATAAAATGGTCCCTTTTCCACTAATATTTTACCAAAAAAGGTTATAGATGATTCAGATCATTTTTATGTGAAAATGGTCTCCCGCCCCAGCCGGGCCTGACTAACTTGCTGTCTGATGAAGGAGTGTCTGATGAAGCTGAAAGTTCTTGTCTTCCAAGTCATTGGGTTGTAATATGAATATAGGCAAACTGATCGGGCTAGGAACGTGAGACACACATTTCTCCAAGTTTGTCACTTGAGGGTTGAAATGTTAGTGTCTGGAGTTAACTGTCAGACTTTCTATTTAAGGGTCAGGCACTGCCTGCCGAGATTCTGTTTGTTGTTGTGACCCAGGCAGAGGAACTGGGCACGGGATCATTGGCTGTGGCCTCCTCAGGACCATGTGACAACCACTGTCTCTCAGTGACTGTTCATCTCTGAAATCCACATGCTCTATGTCATGTAGAATGGAAATACATTTGTTTTATTTCAAAACTGTTTTACCACTGAAACCTACAAAGTGCTGTTTTTTTTCCCCATGAGCTAATGTTTACATTGAATAGTTCCTGTACAGACTTGTAGAGGAAAAGACAGACCTGCTCTCCTGAGAGAAAGCAGAAGACAGGGCAATAAGATTCCATGATCCTAGCTGCGCTGTCAGAAAAGCTGAGTTCTGTGTGAAAAAGCTTCCTTAGAACTGTTCATAAGACTGTTTGGGTACACTGCCAGAAGATCCTTTGCTTCTGGAATAGACTGTGTTAGCTTTCTTACCAGGTGTCAGCAGTGTGTGACTGCATGCAAATTCTCTACTGTCGATGTTTACATTGACATAACAGAAGAAAGAATACTCTGGCCCTTTGCTTAAAAGTCTGGTGTGTAGTGCTTGGGTAAGAAGCAAAGGGATCTGTTGTCTAAGCCTAGGGTAGTAGCCCCCACCTATAACCTTAGGATTCTGGAGGCAGAGGCAGGAGACTGGAGAGTTCTAAGCCAGCCTGGAATATGTATGAAGATTTTGTCTACAAAACCAAATCAAACAAAAAGGACAACTTGGACAGTTCAAGGATCTTTGGGATGGCTGCCCCATTTTGAGGGAGTGATTTGCGTGTGTTCTTTGCAGTTGACTGGTGGTGCCTTCCCTCGTTGATTAAATTGATGTCCTTCCCCCACCAGGTTGGAATGACTGGTGTATCTGGCTCCCACAGAGTAGCATGCTATGCTTTCATTCTGCAAACCCATGGGAGTGAGAGAGCTGGAGTTATTTGTTAACAGTTATACTCTCTAAGGTCACTAAAAGCACACTTTGCGTTTGTCTTATTTGTTTTAAATTTTTTGCAAACTGATGCAAAATTGGGCTGTGCTGAGCAACTGAGGGGTTTTGAAATGTAAGGAAGGGCTGTGGGGAATTGAGCATCCTACTCTCAAAGGATTGACAATGTAACCTCCTCACATGATACAATGGACTTCTTCCTGTGTCATCACATAGACTGAAGGAGAACTGGGGTCATGGGTTTCAATTTACTTTGGACTGGCTTTGACAGAAGGCTAGAGTGGCCCTGATTTTGTCTGCAAACCCCAGGGAGCTTGCGCTTTGGATATGCCCATGTCATCAACATTCAGGTGGTCTACAACACAGGTGGTATATAGCACAGGTGATATACAGCACAGGTGTAGGTCACATACAACACAGGTGGTGTACAACACAGGTGATGTACAACACAGGTGGTATACAGCACAGGTGTAGGTCACATACAGCACAGGTGTAGGTCGCATACAACACAGGTGGTGTACAGCACAGTTGGTGTACAGTACAGGTGTAGGTGATGTACACCACAGGTGTAGGTCACATACAGCACAGGTGATGTACAGCACAGGTATAGGTCACATACAGCACAGGTGGTGTACAGCACAGGTGATATACAGCAGAGGTGTAGGTCACACACAGCACAGGTGGTATACAGCACAGGTGATGTACAGCACAGGTGTAGGCAATGTACAGCACAGGTGGTGCATACTGTCCTCTAGTTATAAATCACCTGTTAAACTGGGGCAAAACTTCAGAATTCACTATGTATCTTCTGCCTTCAAATTCATGCCAAATTCACCTTATAGGTATACTCTATGAAACTGGAATTCAGAAACTAGATTAGAAACGAGCAGAAGACACAAATTTCTCTCAGAATATTTGTATGTATATATGTGAATGCATATGTATATATGTACACGTTTAAATGTGTGTATATGTCTATGTGTACCCGTGACATATATGTGTACATGGCATGTATGTGTTTGCAATGTGTACATGTGTCTATAGGTATGTGTGTGAAAGTGTGTATGTATAAGTATGTGCATGTTTACATGTGGGTGTATGTGTGTATGTATGGTGTATGTATATGTATGTATGTGGTGTATATATGTATATATATGTATGTGAATGTATATATATGGTATATACATATACATGGTACATATACATGGATGTGTACATATGTATACATGTTTGCACATGTGTGTATGAATGTGTGTCTATATGTGCTTATTAGGACCATAGGTAAACATACTCTGTAGCATCTAAGTGGGGATAGAAGTTGGTGTCCTTTCTAGGCTGTATCCAATGACATAGTGCAGAGCCCCTCCCCAGGTCCTTAGTTGCACCAGGAAGATCTGGGTGAGGCATGAACAGTCATTCCACATTTTCATGAAACCATGGATGCAGAACATCTCAGTTCCAAAGTGGTCAAAGCAGTAGCATTTTCTAGAGGAGAGTGTCTTTGTGTCTTCATGCCAGGGCAGCACAGGTTAGAATCCTCCTGGGACTCTCAGAATGTGGGCCTGGAGAGAGAAACCCAGAGGTGACTGTAGCAAGGAAGAGTACAGAACAATAGATCACCCATGACAGTGTGTAAGCTGATCACTCAGGGCTCTGCACGTTTCTCCTGGGAAAGGACCCTGGAGGAACACAGCTGTGTGGAGGGTGCAGACAAGTGGCAGGCCTACAGCAACACCGGCTATAAAAGCCAAACCCTGGGACTGTCTGTAGGATAACACAACACAGAGTGCTAGCCTCGCAGTAGGATAAACATCGGTGCAGACAGATACTCACCCCCTGTCTCTCTCACTGGTGCCATGGAGCTGACAGCTGTGTGAGTCAGAAGACACAGGAAAGCACAACACAGGGCAGGGAATTTACAGCTCTGAGCAAACAAAGCCAGCCCTGGCCTAGGGGTGACCTGTAGTGACCACAGAGGAACAGAACTGAGCAATGGATATACAATAAAAGGGATTTGTCAGATTGCCTTACATCCTGTGACCTGGATAGTCCTACAGTGGCTGTCTCCAGAACTCAGTAGCTGATCAGTCTGTGAGACTGGATGCCTCCACAGTTCTGCCCTGGTGCCAAAGGCCTGGAGAATTCCTGATGTGTCCCTGGGTTTTGGTAGATGTTACAAGCTGGGTTCTGATGCCCACAAAGGAGTGGATGTAGCAGCAGTAGCCACAGCAGTGGGAAGGTAACGAGGCAAAAACAAAGCCTTCCCCTCAGACTTCCTCTTATCCGACGGCCACTGGAAGGTGATGTCCACATTTAGGATGTGGACACTTTAAATGCCCTGGCCCAAAGTCCCCCTCACAGGTATGCTGAGTGGCTGATGTCTTAGTTGCTACCAGATCCAGTTGACTAACATCCCATTGGGCTTGAACAATTCTGTTTACATTCTGAATCCTGATCCACAATTGTCATGAGGGGTCAGGAGGAAGATGCCCTAATTCCTTTCTTACAAACTTGAAAAAGCCAGTCTCCTTCACAGGCTTCCATCATGCCAAACTTCACTGATGTCCACTGCTTGCACTAACAAGTAATTAGCCCATAAATCATAAGCCAGTGACTTCCCTGCCCTTCTGATTCCCTCTGGTGAGCTAGGTGTGAGGAGCAGTGGTCTCAGGAAGAAGAGAAAGTGAAGAGATGTCAAGCCCCTTTAATCTTTACCTCCTCTTTCTGTCTTACTCCTCAATGGGCATTCCTGAGCCATCAGCCTCTTCTCACCACAGGGCAGTGCTTGGCCAGTTCTTGGAGTATTCCTGTCTGGATTTGTTTCGCAAGCAGGCCACTCACTGTTCACAATTATCACAGCTATTGTCAAGCACTGGCCACCAGGGAGCCAGCAGTGAATGGAGCCTGGCAGACATTGGTGTAGCCTGGAGCCTGGGCTAGCAATGGACAAGCACTGCACACATGTACAGAATACAATCCACTCTGTCCAGTGGCATCTGGAAAAATACTACAGAGGGGTGGTTCTCATAAATAAAGGCAGATTTGGGATGTATAGAAGAGGGTCTTGTTCCTGAGTGCTATTGACTCTGATGTCTTTATGTTGGATTATGTCTGTGCATAGATCAGGTATAGAAAGGGGGAGGGCCTGAGGACAGACTTCCACGGTGATGGTGGTGGTGGTGGTGGTGGTGGTGGTAGGGATTGCTTCAAGAAGAGTGGTGACAGGAAGCTAAAGACAAAGGTGCTTTAGAGGGACTGAGCTGTTCCCTGGTGTTCCTGTCCCTCCTCCTGAGAGCCAGTGT